AGGGACTCCTTCCTTCTCATTAGGTGGCCAAAGTATTTGAGTTTCATCTTCGGTATCTGGCCTTCTAAAGAGCAGTCAGGGTTGATCTCCTCTAGGACTGACTGGTTTGATCACCTTGCGGTCCAAGGGACTCGCAGAAGTCTCCTTCAGCACCACCAAAAAGAAAATAGTCTTAGCATCATGTAAGCATCCATGCAGAATAACAGATCAAGTTTTAGTTAGCTAAATGTTAGGTTTCACTGAAATCAGTGACTAATCATAATTTGGGGGGACTAAAGTAAGAATTTAAGTGGACTAAATGGAACTAACTTAGTTTAGAGCCAGGCCTACGAGCTTTATTCCCAGTCAAGAATGAGGGCCAGGATAGAGGGCCAGAACTGTGTAACAAACTGCACTGGGGGGCGGGTGTTAATTATTGTATAATTTAGTATTTATTTATTACTTCTGTATTTATGTGTTGTGAGCTGCCCCGAGGCTTTGTTGCGATGGGGCGGCATAGAAATTTTTAAAATAATTAATTAATTAATTAATATCTGATGATATAGTGACTGGATATTATAAGGGAACTGGGGGAACTAAAGACAGAGCTGCTGTTTGGTAACAAACCCTTGTCCTTCACAATATGTAGCCTTCTAAAATTTGTTGCTAAGGAGTCTGTCACAACAATGTGGTGTAGTGGTTGGAGCAACCTTTCACAACCTGGTGTCCTCCAGACCTTTGAGGACTTCAGCTCCAATCAACTCCAACCAACTCAGCCCATGATAAGGAAGGATAGGAATTGCAGGCCAAAACATCTGGAGGGCACCAGTGGTTGGAAGGCCAGTCTAACATATATTTATTGTGTTATTAAATTACAATTCATATTGCAAATATACAATGGCTGCTGGAGCATACCAAAGAATTTCAGAGACAGATTAGTCCATACTGTATGGACTACAGCAAAGCTTTTGCCTGTGTGGAACATGAAAAGCTATGAACAGTTCTGAAAGAAATGAGTGTAGCTCAACATTTGATTGTTCTGATGTGTAACCTGTATCATGGATGAGAAGCTGCTGTTAGGACAGAATGTGGAGAAACGGAATGGTTTCCTATAGGCAAAGGCATCAGGCAAGTGTGTATTTTATCTCCCTACCTGTTCATGCTGTATGTAGAACTTACATGAAGGAAGCTGGATAAGGATCAGAGGAAATAGGAGTTAAAATATCCATCTTTATTACTGGGAGAAAGAAGCAGTGAATTGAAATGATACCTGATAAAGTGAAGAAAGAAAGTGCAAAAGCAGGACTGCAACTGCATATTAAGAAAATAAAACACATGACTACAGAAGAATTATACAACTTTAATATTAACAGTGGAGAAATTGGAGTTGTGAAAGATACTACTTAGCATGGCTCAATTATCAATTCAAAAGGGAACTGAAGCCAGGAAACTGCAGCCAATCTTAGAAGCAGACTAAGGTTTGGAAAGGCAACAACTAAGGAACTAGAGAACATCATCAGATTTCACCGGATGCCAAGGCCAAGGCCATCCACACTACTGTATTTCCAGTCACTAAGAATGGGTGTGAAAGCTGAATAATTAGGAAAGCTGACAGCAAGAAAATGGTGTTCAAAGAGACTGATAGAAAGACAAAACAGTAGGTCCTAGATTAAATTGAGACAGAAACCTGCCTTGGAAGCAAAAATGACAAAACTGATGCTGTTGTACTTTGGACACACTGTGAGAAGGCAAAATTCACTGGGGAAGACAATAATGTTAGGGAAAGTCATAGGCAGAAGAAGAAGAGGAAATGAGACAGATTAATTCCATAAAAGAAGTCCCAACCTTGAGCTTATGAGAGCTGAACAACAGGGCTGTCAAGAACAGAATATTGTGAAAGGCATTCATTCCTAGGGTTGGCACAAGTCAGAGATGACTTGATGATATGTAGCAGTATCAAACATTACATTACATTACCTTGAGGTCTCTGTGAACAATACCCATTCTGTGAAGATAATAGACAGCATCTAAGACCTGCCGTATCAGAGTGCTTGCATCTTTTTCAGTGTAAAATCCTTTCTCCACAATGCGATCAAACAGCTCACCTCCAGATACTCTGAAAAACACCATACAATATAACAAGGTTAATCTGGAAAGTAATCAATTAAAAAAAGTTTTGGGAAAGTAAAAAGATCACCACCACCACATTTATTAGAATCTTTTCTCCCCTTGTATACCTATGCTAGCCTAGAATTACAACATAGAATTGAGAACTGGATTTTTTTTATCACTACAACTATTGCACAGTAATTAAAATTAGTTTTGCTTGTTTGTTTTAAATAGCTTTCTGATTGATATGAAAAATTGTTTTTCAATGCATAATACATTGTACTCCAAGGTCAGATACCTTTCTTTGAAAGCACAGAACATGCACTGAAACTGATAATGGCTTTTGCTCATTACAAATGAAAAATAATGTAGTTGAAATGTCAAAGCAATTGTTTCTCGCTAGAAAAGCTTGTTAGAACAAAACAGCAATAACAAAATCTTCCAAATATTCAAAGAGCGCTTCAAAAGAGGAAATATATTTTCTATAAAGCATTCCATCTTAAACATGTCATGAGTTATACTACATTTTTTAAAAGAGAACAGAGCTGTATAATATATATGCACACTTGGTACTTAGAGGATTAAGGTATTATAGATCTAAATACATATTTCAGCAAGTCAGAGAAGCTACATGCATTTTCCCTTCAGTGCAGTTTGGTGAATTCAAAAGACAGTGATGGGTATATACACTGAGGCCACAAATAGTGTACACGTCTGGTTCCAGAAGGGAATGCATGTGCAGGTTACTGCAAAACTTACGATACCCTAAGTGCAGTCCAGGTAGGACAAGAATGCCCAGCCCATAACCCATGGGCCTCATGTGGCCCTGGCACAGCTTTCTCTGTAGCCCACCAAACCTCCAGTTTGCCCACCCAGTTTCCCACGGATTACTATTGCTGCTATACTGTCCCTACTGGAAGCAGGGAAACAGAGATCCCAATCAGGGATCACTGAGGAAATGAAGCGGCTTTTGCCTCCTCCTTTCCCCAGTGACTGCAAAACAGCCCATTCTTCTGTGTGTGCATGCGTGTGCATGCATACATGTACATATATGTGCTTATACACACTGCCTTCCCATGTGATTATCAGGGCTAAAAACATTGCACTTTTTAGTGACTTAGTCACAGGGTTTTCACTCTGTTTCCACTCCCTAACAGGAGCACACAAAGCAAAAAAACACTCATGTACAGATATGATAAAACACTGCATCTGTGTGTTTTATGTGAATTCCTACATGGAAGTTTCTTCTGTGTTAGAAATGTGTTATATATATGATTTGGCCTTATTTTATGGCAGCAAAAAATACCAAATGTTGTGGTACCTTTTGAGCTGGGTTATTTATGAATTCAAGGGCAGCATACTAATTTATCATATACCTTTTTTAACTATCCGATTGGTAAATCTAACCTTGGTTGCTTATGCCTTGAATGCACTGTCCTGTAGCCTTTACTCTTTGTTACTGCCACTGGGGCACTGTTCATGCTCCAGCATTCATACAGCTTGTCTTCCCAGTTTATTTCACCTTCCTTTATCAGTGTTCCACAATTCTGTATTATACAGATATCATCACCAAGGGCTCTGCTAAGTTTTCTTTCCCAGGAACACCAAGTTCAGCTTTGAACTGGCCTCTTGCTAATGAAATCAAAATGGTGCCTGGCCAGTACAATTTAGGGCATATCTACACAAAGCAAGTACATTAGTTGTATACCATTTTAAATGCTATAGCTTCCCCTAAGAACACTGAGCCAAACATGCTGAAAGAGTGTTGTGAATTCTGCATTGGGGATCCTCAGCCCCTTGATGGAACTACTAATGCCAATTTGCAAATGGTTTTGATTATGAATTGGTTTAGATTTCACCACTAAACAAGCCAACCATCACAAGTGGGCTGTGGGCTGAATGAGGTCCACACCATCTCTCTACACAGTCCTCAATGCCCCTTGCAGCATGGTAACACAACTGGAGAACGAAGAGCACTGGAAAAGAATAATGTCACCCACAGAAGTTGAGGACAGGCTGCAGGCCATCAGGTGCTCCTGCAACCCCAGCATTTCCACTGGAAGGAAAAGGAAAGTAGGTTCACCAGCCACAGCATGAGGTACCTGGAGCAGCCTGGAGCTTGGAGCTCTGTGGTTTGGAATCCAAGCTCATGCATGTAGCTGAGAGAGATGAGATCTGAAGGAAGGCTGGAACTGAACGCTGGCAGCAGGTAGGGCAGGTACGGACAGCTACAGCGGCCGTTTTATATGCATGTGTGCAACAGAGACAGAGAGAGAAAATGATTGCTGAATGCCTTTCCCTGTCACTGACCAGTCTGCTAACGACCTGAGGGTGGAGGGAAATCACACAGCCAGACAAATGTACTCCTTTGAACTCAAATTTGCCTGTTCCAGCAACAACTCCCATTCCACAGCAAATCAAGTGACTTTAAGATGAGTGAGAGAGAAGAATCTACACTGCCATAACAACAATGACAATAATTTTGAAAAGACACAATATTTGCAGAAGCACACAGAAAAGTAGCCTTTGCAATACACAAAACCACGCATACACAATCAAACACCAGAGAATACACACAACACATTTTAATACCACCATACATTTGTGCCACAAACTGAACCGTAAGCACACCCCAGGCCAGACAATGCACACATGCCACAGACCACACACAAAGATTAAAGAACAACATATCAATGGAGCTGTAGGTGGTGGAGCAGCTCCTCTTTTGACCTTTTAAAGGAAGTCCAGAAGGTAATGCCTGTACAACCTGCTGGACACCTCCACCTTGCCCAAAAGACCTCCCCCCTACAGTTGGAGGCACTTATCTCCAAGTAGCCAATTGGAGCCAATTCTTTGTAGCGATTTTTTGAACCAGTCCACGGGGGCCTGAAGCCTAAGAAAAGTTGGCTCAAACTTTTCATAGCCACATTTTAGTTTGAAAATAATAAATAAAATTTCCCTAACACCCACCACACATCTAGCTGACTGCCAAATAAGTGACAAAATATTAAATCTGAGCCAGAGCGGTAAATTGAATTTTGTGAACATTGTTACAGGCTTAGGAAGGAGACTCCCCTTTTGGACAATGTTCAGGAGTGCTTGTTCTGCAATCTCAGCCACTGCGTATTACATTGCATAACAAATCAGGATCTCTGGCCAGCTCACCCCAACAGTAAGCTGCATTTTCAGCTTCCCTCTCCTTTAAAGATGGATGGCAATGGGAAGGTTTTGTTGGCCCCCAGTGACATTGCCATAGAATAAGATCTGATTTACTACATGATATCATGATGTCTCATTGTTCACAGCTTGATGCCTCATCATCCCAACTTGATCAATGCAGTGTGATCACACCATGGTGAAAAAAACACAGTGGCAGCAAGAAGGGAATTCTGTGACCTATTTCACGCTAGGACTATTTGCATGTAAAAATTCTGTGTAGCCCTTATGTCTGTAAACACCTGTAAAAATTCTGTACAATCCTTACACTCAAAAGTGCCTCACTTGCAGGTGGTATTATACTCATGTGGTATGATCCTCCCTCTTCTTCCATGTCATTTTCCAGTCCCAAATACCCTAAACCATTTCATTTTATTAAAAACCACTTTCCTCCAATTTTCTGTTCCAGAGATTGGTTCAGTGTTCTCAAAGACATTGCATGTAATTCTCACTCTCTTGCGAAGAGGGTGAAACAAACAAACCGAAATGCAGTTGTGCCACAACATAGGTATTCCCCGGGCAGTTTCCTCTCATTGATCCAGAGGATGGATGTAAAAATGTTCAAGTCTCCCTGTAGAAAAACCAGTAAACACAAGGCAATTCACTTCATCTGTATGAGATGACTTCCTTGTTTTGAGGAAACATGTGTGGAACTTCGTGATAAAGCAGCTAGATGAAAAGAACTTGGGTTCACCCATCTGAAGTACCAAGGCAAGGGATAAATAATCTGCAGAACTGATTGGGGTAATAAGCACAGACCTCTATATAGTGGTGTGAAATAATTTTCCAAGCCATAATACTGCTGCTTGTTATCACACTGGGGATTCTTTATAGTATGTTTTCTTGCTTGCTTGCTTGTATTTATTCATTCATGTATTAAATGCCACACAAATAAATTTCTCTAAGGGTTTTACCATGATGAAAAAAATACAAAAACACAATAAAATTAATAATATAAAACTAAAAGGTGTGCTAACACAGTATAAAATACAGTAGCAAATTGCAGGGCCTAAGATAATCAGTGCTTTTTCAGGGGCTAATGGGTTGAAGCAGTGATGACAAACCTATGGCATGTATGCCATAGCAGGCACGCAGAGCCCTCTCTGTTGGCTCACAAGCCAAGTTGCCCCAGCATCGCCCCAGCAGTCATGCACATATTCGGAAAGAGTAACGGCGCCAGGCAACAACGTCACTCATTAGCCGCAACTTGCTGCAAGAGGTGGTGTCGAACAGGTGGCCAGAGTCAGCTACAACAGCTGCGGTGGATGCACCAGGAAGGGAGCGGATGAGCGCTGGTGGCATTGCCCTCCTCCTGGCTCCTCCTCCTCCTCCCCCCAGCCCGCAGCATGTGAGTGGCTGCCCAAGCTGCCCTCCTAGCGCAGTGGCAGGACCCTGCTGACTCAGTAGCCACAGGCGCAGCCAGGCAGCTGTGCGCCTGCCTGCACGGGTGCCCTCTCCCAGGCTGGGCTCCCGCACCAGTGGCCGTGGAAGGGGGAAGCTGGGCAAAGAGAGTGAGCGACGGGGTCAGGGTGGCAGAGCAGCAGCAGCTGGAGCAAGGTGGAGGAGAGAGAGGGTGCCCAGAATGGATATGGCGCTTCCTGGGGTGGGAGGCCAAAGTGAGGAAAAGTGGAGGCTGGAACTGCTGCGAAGTGAGAGAACTGGGCACATGAAGGGCATCCCCCTCCCCACCTGACCCCATTCACCATGGCTTGGCACTCTCCCTTATCTCCAATTCAGGTCTTGAGAGTACAACAGGGATTCCTCTAGAACATAGAGCTTGGAGGCCAAGCC